GTTTTAGTGTTTCACAACAAGAGCTAGATTATTTTAACTGTTTAAGTGAGTGATTACTAGTTTCCTAGCGTAATGGTGCATGATGGGATTTGGATTAAATTAAGTGTTCGAGTACATTTCCAGTGTCGTAATCATTAGCATTCTAGGTGGCGTTGCAGACAAGACATTTCTAGTGTCGTAGTCATGAACATTCTAAGTGGCGTTGCAGACAAGACATTTCTAGTGTTGTAGTCATGGACATTCTAGGTGGCGTTGCAGACAAGACATTTCTAGTGTCGTAGTCATGAACATTCTAGGTGGCGTTGCAGACAGGACGTTTCTAGTACTGTAGTCATCAACATTCTAGGTGGCGTTGCAGACAAGAACAAATGACTGAGTTTAGTATTAAACAAAGAAAACGCCTGTTGGAAGTGTCGTATAACAAGCAGTATAGATGAAACAATAATATAAAAACATTATATTTTTTGAGTACATTCAGCTTTTGTTACAACCATTCATGGCCCGGTGGTTAAGGAGCTCGACTCACAATCTGCGGGTTCGAATCCCAGTCCCACCAAACATGCTCGCCCTTTCAGCTGTTGGGGCGTTATAATGTGACGGTCAATCACACTATTTGTTGGTAACAGAGTAGCCCAAGAGTTGGCGGTGGGTGGTGATGACTAGCTGCCTTCCTTATAGTCTTACACTGCTAAATTAGGGACGGCTAGCGCAGATAGCCCTCGTGTAGCTTTGCGCGAAATTCAAAACAAACAACCATTCATTGCACGTTCACGCCTCAGAAAAATCCAGATGTAACTGTTCCCTATACAATCCGTCATAGAATCTGAAAGGAACAGACTTGAAGAGGCAGTTTTATTTCGTTGATATTTTTATACAAAACAAAAACGATGATTCACGAACGACGTGAATATCGGAAATACATTTAAATAGACATCAGCCATGTTACTTGAAATTGATCATGTCGTGCTAAAGATATTCCAATAATCAATAAATAATTTTATAAAGAGAGGCGCGTTTAGAATAATATGGCTGTTTGTGTTACACACGTTGAGAAGCGCTGTTAATTAAAGATACCGTTTCGTGTTGAGAATATTCTTGTATGTAATACCCCCCCCCCCTCTTCAGTTACTCTCTTTATTACCTGATGTCATCGAATATTCGTTTTGTTGATTGACATCATTATTGTAAAACATTGAATCGGAGAGTAATCTGTTTATAATAGTCAGCTTTTGTGACATTTTTCACTGATACATGGTTGTTTTTCGCGGTCTGCGGGTTCGAATCCCATCACCGAATATGCTCGCCCTTTCATCCGCGGGAGCGTTATAATATGACGTTCAGTCTCACTATTTGTTGGTAAAGAGTAGTCCAAGAATTCGCGATGTTCACTAGCTGCCTTCCTTCTGACCTATCACTCCTAAATTAGGGATGGTAGCGCAGATAACCTTCGAATAGCTTGATACGAAATGCAACAAACACGCATAACCTTCCTAAAAAACAAAGTATATTCACCCACCACCCCCCGAAGATGGGGTGGGAGGTCGTTGTTCTGAGAAACACGTTGAATTATTACGGTAAAAATTAACGTTATAATCCGTAACAATGAGTATTTTACTTTAAAATAAAAGTAATAATTTGCCAGATAGAAAAGGCCCCCTATCGGAAAAAAGAGTAAAATGGCCATCTTTCGGATTTTCTCTTATGTCATATTCTTGTGTTCAACTGCGCAGAATTAAATATTTGAATAATACTTAGAGGATAAATGTCATGAATATATGACATTATTATTTTATTTTTTGTTGGAAGTCTTTAAAAGGTCATAGTAGTTTTCTACTCACTTTAAACCTTTTCTGACGTCATCAGTCTCTAGAGGAAATAGATAAAACACGCGAGTGGGCGATTAGTTGGCGAATCAAGTTGGGCGTTACATTCTTTGATCCTTAGTGAAACGAAGGCAAACCATCTTAAAGTTTTATGCTTTGTTTTTTTCAGTGTCTGAACATAAAACAAGAAATATAGCCATATATACCATGAGGGGTTAATTGTCAGGAGCTTCACTTTAGTTATACGTTTATGTTTGTCAGGAGCTTCACTTTAGTTATAAGTTTATGTTTGTCAGAAGCTTCAGGGAAGTATTTCATTAGTTACGAGTTGTGGAAGGGAAGTATTTCGTTAGTTACAAGTTATGGAAGGGAAGTATTTCATTAGTTACAATATTTGGAAGGAAAGCATTTCATTAGTTACAAGCTTGTAACTAACGAAATACTTCCCTTCCATAACTTGTAACTAACGAAATACTTCCCTTCCATAACTTGAAACTAACGAAATACTTCCCTTCCATAAGTTGTAACTAACTAAATACTTCCTTTCCATAACTTGAAACTAACGAAATACTTCCCTTCCATAAAAGGAAATCTTTCGTTCTGCAATATACGTGTGATGTTTTGAAAATCTTTTTTTTAAATGTAATATATGAAAAACAATGTTTATTTTAAGTACGGTAGTACTTAATAATAGGGATCGACAAGGATTCCAAGTAATTCAAGAGCCGAAAAACCACCCTATCGAATTGCTAAGCGCAAAACCGACCATTAAAAGTATTGGTTACGATATATTTTGCACATCTATGCCAATAATACGCTAAAAGGTCGCTAACATTTATAACAATTCAAAAATGTCTAAAACAGCAACTCTGGTCTGCTACCTGATCACGTCATCGGGGTTAGCACCCCTAGCTTAATTAACTGGTCTGTGGGTATCCGCTTTTGACATTCCGATAAAAATCATTATATATATATATATATGGTAAACATATCAAAAAAGTACTTAAATATTTTTTCAACCCAAAGAATGACGCTACATACCAATGGATAGACACGCGACAGTTTCTAAAGGTAAAGTATATACTTTATGCAGATATCACATAAAAGTAAACAAGAACATTAAAATTATGAATTTTAAAATGAAGTATGGATCCTGCTAGAAAAAGTAATGAAACAAGAATTAAAACCTCAGTCATAAATTTATAAAATGTAATCCCTACTTTGGCAGCTGTATACACTTATCTGTAGACCAAAGTAAAAATTAAATTCTATAAATTTGTGATTGTGGTTTTAATTATTGTTTCATTACTTTTTACACCAAGATCCCCTACTTCATTTTAAAATTCATAATGTTTTAATATTATTGTATATATGAACGTGGACAGTTGTTTTAGTGTGATGGAACTGCTCCTCCAGTGTTGAGAAATCGTACAAACTTTATCAAGAATGGTAAGGTTGTGAAATAGTCCAGGAACTCGCCAAGATCCATCGTGTGCTCTTTGTTACAGATTTAGAATCCTAACGAAATAAATGGCAGTCCTTTTATTTTTTGCTTGGCTTCAGTAAATTAAGTTTTCTTTGCAGTTAACTTTTTACAGTAAATTTACAGCAGACAGTGGTGTATGATAAGTAGCCTAATTAGGTACGTTGAAACGGTGTAAAATTGCATCGTTACAAAGACGTGTGGTGTATGATGAGTAGCCTAATTAGGTACGTTGAAACGGTGTAAAATTGCATCGTTACAAAGACGTGTGGTGTATGATGAGTAGCCTAATTAGGTGCGTTGAAACGGTGTAAAATTGCATCGTTACAAAGACGTGTGGTGTATGATGAGTAGCCTAATTAGGTGCGTTGAAACGGTGTAAAATTGCATCGTTACAAAGACGTGGTAATTTGAAACGTTTCTAAAGTGTTGCAAATATATCCAGCAAAGGAATTAATATCACACGTTATGGTTATAAAAACTGACTCGCGATATGAATTATGGGATATCTTGAATAAATGAGTTTAGATACTCTACTTTTCTAGAAAAAAGATGTCAAGAATTGGAGCTTACGGGTTGTAAGATGTCAGGATTTCTACTTACTTAGTTGAGTCAATATTGTTGCTTTTTCGAGAAAAAATTATATACGAGTTTATGAAGTGGAGTACGGAAAATTATATACGAGTTTATGAAGTGGAGTACGGAAAATTATATACGAGTTTATGAAGTGGAGTACGGAAAATTATATACAAGTTTATGAAGTGGAGTACGGAAAATTATATACGAGTTTATGAAGTGGAGTACGGAAAATTATATACGAGTTTATGAAGTGGAGTACGGAAAATTATATACGAGTTTATGAAGTGGAGTACGGAAAATTATATACGAGTTTATGAAGTGGAGTACGGAAAATTCGATTTTGAATTTTACTGTTCAGAATTTTTAGACTGGGCGTGGCTCATTACGTAATGCGCCCAGATTGTGAATCAGAATTCATAATTATGGGGCGTGGGTGCGCTATAAGAATGACGGTCAAATCTCACAATTCGAATAGACAAGAGTCCCCTAAATTTGACGTTGGGTTCTATTGACTAGCTGCCTTCCTTCTTATCATCAGTACGGTCACTCGACAAGTTTACAAACTTACATTGTTAAAATCTGGGGTTATATTTCCCTCGGTGAACAGAGCGCAGGTGTGTTACTTTGCACTATAAAAGCAACTATTAGTTCAGCATTAAGGGGCAACTATTTACGAAAATTCTCAAGGAAACTAAAAAAGTTTAAAACTACATTTATAAATGTATAATTCGTAATCTCAAAGCTTTCGTTCACTGGATTGTGGGCCTAACTTCAATAAGTTTTCTCATTCTTTATCTTGTAACACTTTTAAACAAACAGCACGAGTCTTTAAACAGAATCCCATTAGAAAATCATGGTATTAAAAAAATTACTTACAGAATGTAAGAGGGTTATGAAAATAACAGAATCATGTACAGATGAAAATATTTTGTGATGAACAAGCTTTAAGGAATAAGCTCCAATAGTAAAGTAATAGCAAACATCCCTTTTGTGAAACTACTGTAACCAAGAAATGGATGTTTAAGAAGAATTCTTTTGTAGTTAAGATAAGTTTCGAGGCGATTAGAAGTTCAGTAATTTATTTAGGAAATATACAGATATATTTATATTTCTAGATGGGATTACCACTTCCTTATGCACAATTCCACCTTTTGCCTTGTTCCCAGAGGGCGTCGTCTTGGGTCTTTTCGTTTCTTGGAGGCACTGCAAGCAGGTTGTATTCCTCTGTTACTTAGCAACGGATGGGAACTCCCTTTTGGTGAGGTGATTGATTGGACTAAGGCAACAGTTTGGGCCGATGAACGATTGTTACTTCAGGTAGGAGTACATGTAGAAAGTTTGTTTAGTTTGGAAATTGAAAATAAATTTTGTTGAGATAAATTATCTTTCACAGGAAAGCACAGAAAGTGCATTTTGTTTCGTCGGTAGTTCAGGGAAGTGCATAAAGTTAAAGGTCAAATATAGAACAATTTATAATTGGACCATCAATAGAAGCAGTTAGCTCCAACTTGTAATAGAACCACATTTGTTGTTACTTCAAATAGACGGGCAGGATTGAGGACCAAAATGTGAGGGGGGAGGTTTTACGCAATTATTCTGAATGTTGAATGCATATAAAATCACACAGAAAGAAGAAAAAAGGTGGCAGAGACAACTGCCCCCCCCCCATAATCCCAAATAGTAACGACTTATTGTCACTTCAGTGCCTGTGCAGGGTTATCCTGCCGAAATGAAACTTGACTTCCACGTTCATTTTTTTACCTCGAAGCCAGCGTTCGTACTTAAAGAAATGGCATTAGTCTGCTTGGACTTCCAAGTTGATATTTCAAGTAATGGTAGTAGTCTGCTTGGACTTCCAAGTTGATACTTCAAGTAATGGTAGTAGTCTGCTTGGACTTCCAAGTTGATACTTCACGAAATGGTAGGAGTCTGCTTGGACTTCCAAGTTGATACTTCAAGTAATGGTAGGAGTCTGCTTGGACTTCCAAGTTGATACTTCAAGTAATGGTAGTAATCTGCTTGGACTTCCAAGTTGATACTTCAAGAAATGGTAGGAGTCTGCTTGGACTTCCAAGTTGATACTTCAAGTAATGGTAGTAGTCTGCTTGGACTTCCAAGTTGATACTTCAAGTAATGGTAGTAGTCTGCTTGGACTTCCAAGTTGATACTTCAAGTAATGGTAGTAGTCTGCTTGGACTTCCAAGTTGATACTTCAAGTAATGGTAGTAGTCTGCTTGGACTTCCAAGTTGATACTTCAAGTAATGGTAGTAGTCTGCTTGGACTTCCAAGTTGATACTTCAAGTAATGGTAGTAGTCTGCTTGGACTTCCAAGTTGATACTTCAAGTAATGGTAGTAGTCTGCTTGGACTTCCAAGTTGATACTTCAAGTAATGGTAGTAGTTTGCTTGGACTTCCAAGTTTATAAAAGTTGAATTAGCAAGTCATTCTAAGTTTTTGTCAGTCGATCCAAAAGTCATAATAATCCAAAGATAGAGATTGCCAAAATATAAGCCGCACAAGATAGTGGGTATTCAGTTTAAATACTAGACCTGCGAATGTTACAAAAATAAACAATTAAATGGAAGAGAGTTCTAGAAAATTTAAAATTCATTCTGCTGGTTTGTTAGCTGTACCTGCTTGCCGCTCAGAATTTTTATTGTCTTTTCGCAATCATTTACAAATAGTAGGTTTATAAGTAGATGTTGGAATAAGTGTTTTATTTTTTAATATAAGTGTCTAGATGTATAATAAGATGATTGTTGTGTGGTAGGTGCCTGACGTCGTCCGTTCAGTTAATCAAACACGTGTGCACGCGCTTCGGCAACATACTCAGATACTATGGGAAAACTATTTTTCTTCAGTCGAGAAGATCGTAATGACCACCTTAGAGGTAAGAACTATTCAGAGAATATGTTAGAAAAAGTTTGAAAGTGAGCCTTTTACGTTAACACAGTATTTGTTGAGTATTATTGTTTGTTTGTTTGTTTCGAGTATTCGCGTCAAGATACACAGACGTCATCCATAGATTTGAAAGAAGACAGTCGATGGCTACCCTAATGAAATAGTGGGATTTGACCAATTATATTCTAACGTACCCACAAACCGTTGGATTTATAATCCGGCACGCTTTTAGCCACGCCCGGTCCTACTAATACAACACACAAGTTGAAAACTTTACTTGATTTTTGAACATTTTACATAACAGAAAAGAGAAGGGTAGGGTTGGCATACATTTTATAGTTCGTGTGGTTTTCGTCCCTAAACGTAAAGCATTTTACTAATGAATCTTTCATCACCCGTTTGCTAATACTACATTGTTTCACACTATGTCAAAATAAATTTGGCTTGTATCATTTTTAGTAATCCTATTTCTTACTTGTTTCGACTAGCTACCGCACTGTGTCACTTTGTGCAACCCTAGATCTAGCTGGTTTCGACACACTGTGTCATCTTCTCTTTAGTTTGTAATCCTGTGTCACTTTGTTAGATTAGCTGGTTTCGACTTGTGCCACACTGCCATTTTCTCTTTATCACCCTCTGTCGCTTGCGGCGTTTTAAATCAATAGGAAGGAGGAACAGGCAACTATTGGGACGTTTTAAGTCAATAGGAAGGAAGAACGGGCAACTATTGGGGCGTTTTAAATCAACAGGAAGGAGGAATAGG